TGCAAGCTTGATCCCCAGCCCTGGTCAGGGCATGTGTGGGAGGCAACCAGTTGATGTGTCTCTCTCACATCAGTTTCTCTTTGTCTCTCCCTCTCCCTTCTACTCACTCTAAAAGAAACAAAACAAAACAAAACAAAAAAACAGTGGAAAAATATCCCCAGGTGAGAATTAACAAAAGCAATATACTGTAATAAAAGTTAGAAAAGTTTTATGAATGTGCTCCCAGCAAACTAGCACTAATTTCTTTTTCCTTCTTCAGCTTCACAGATAGAAAATTTGTTCTTACTACAGACTTTAGAAACCTAAGCATATGATCTTTATTCTTTCCTTATTAAGTCAAGAACTTTCACCTTTTCACTTAAAGAAAGCAATGTACAGCTTCTATCCAGTATATCTGAATCATCAGGATCACTGCTCTTGCACTCTGAGGCCATTATTACCTTGAAACAAATGAAAATGAACACACAACAACCCCAAATCTATAGGACACAGCAAAGCAGTCCTGAGAGAAACCTTCAGAAGAGTATAGTCCTGCCTCAAGAAATAAGAAAAATCTCAAGTAAACAATCTAACTTTATTCTTAAATAAACTACAAAAAGAAGAAACAAAGCCCAAACTGATCAGAAGGAATAAAGATAACAGCAGAAATAAATAAAACAGAGTCTAAAATATAGTACAAAGAACAATGAAACCAACAGCTGCTCTCTGAAACTATAAACAAAATGAACAAATTTTTAACATCAAGGAAAAGAGAGAGAGAGAACCCAAATTTCTGAGAGAATCAGAAATGAAAGGGAAGTAACAACTAACAAGACAACCAAGATTGTAAGAAAATATTATAAAAAGCTATATGTCAATAAACTGAAAAATCTAGATGAAATGGATAAATTCCAAAACTGAATCAAGAGGAAACAGAAGCCCTGCTGTGGTGACGAGTGGTTGAGCATAAACCTGTGAACCAGGAGGTCATGGTTCAATTCCCGGTCAGGGCACCTGCCCAGGTTGAGGGCTCAATCCCCAGTGGGGGGCATGCAGGAGGCAGACAATCAATGATTCTCTCTCATCATCGATGTTTCCTTCCCTCTCTCCCTCTCCCTTTCTCTCTGAAATCAATAAAACTATATTAAAAAAAGAAAAAACAGAAAATCTGAACAGACTGACTACAAATAACAAAATCAAAGCAATAACCAAAAAACTTCCAACAAAGTCCTCCACTGGATGACTTTATAAGTGAATTTTACCAAACGTTCAAAGAAGAGTAACACCTGTCCTTCTCAAACTATTCAAAAACTCAAGAGGAGGGAAGGCTCCCAGCCTCACTTCCCCAGGCCAGCGTTACTCCAATGCCATCGCAGGTGAGGACACTACAATGAATGAAAACCATAGGCCAATCTCCCCGATGAGCATAGATGTTAAAGTTCTCAACAAAATATTAGCAAATTTGACTCAGCAATAAATTAAAAATACTATACACCAGGACCAAGTGGGATTTACTTGGGGGATGCAAAGTGGGTACTTGTATCCATATTTGTAAATAAATAACTGTGATGCATCACATAAACAAAATGAAGGATAAAAATCACATGACTATGTCAATAGATGCAGATAAAGCATTTGATAAAATCCAGTATACATTTATAAAAAGGAGAAAAAAAAACTCCCAGCAAAGTGGAAATAGATGGATCATGCCTCAACATGATAAAGGCCATATATATAAACCGACAGCCAAAATCAGACTTAATGGGCAAAAACTAAAAGCTTTTCCCTTAAGATTATGAACAAGAAAGGGATGTCCTCTTATTCAACACAGCACTGGAAGTCCTAGCCACAGCGATCAGACAAGAAGAAGAAATAAAAGGCATCCAAATTGGAAAGGAGGAAAAGAAACTGTCACTCTCTGTAGATGACACACAAGAAACTGTATATAGAGAGCCCTAAAGGTTCTACTCAAAACTACGAGAACTGATACATGAACTCAGTGAAGTAGCAGGGAACAAAACGTATGCTCAGAAATCAGTTGCCTTTTTATACACCAACGAGGGGCCCAGTGCTCAAATTCATGCGCCCTGAAAGGAACTGTGGCCAAGAGGCTGTGGTAGGCACAAAGGCGGGTCTCAGCCCATCCTCTGTATTGCCAGCCCCTCCCGCCCCGGCCCCAGTCCCATCTGCCGGCAGCCCCGCTTCTGCTGCCATCACTCCCACACGCTGATGGCGCCCAGCCCTACTGCACCTGCTGTGACGGCAAGTGGCGGATGCTGGCTCCATCGCCCCTCAGGAGCAGGGGGAGGTGAAGCCCTGAGGGGCGATTGGGGCTGGCAGCCGCTGCTCACACCCAGTGATAGCGCCCAGCGATCGAGACCAGTGCTGGGAGCCAGCAGTACGTGCAAGCACAAGCAGGGCAGGTGCGAGCGCCAGTGGAACCATGGTGCACAGAAGCAAAGAATTCTCAGTAACCACCACAGGCTCGCCCCGATGACAGCTACCAGCGCCCCATCTTGGTCTGGCGCTCCTGCTCACCTGCTCCATCATCCCGCTGCAGTTGACACCCACCATGTTCCACGCATGCCCCCCTGGTGGTCAGCGCATGTCATAGTGACAGGTTGTTCCATTGTTCCACTGTTTGGTTTATTTGCATATTAGGGTTTTATATATATAGGTAATGAACTATCAGAAAGAGAAACTAAGAAAACACTGCGTTTACAATTGCATTAAAAAAAAAAAAAAAAGGAATACATTTAACCAAGGAGGTAAAATCCCTATACTCAGAAAATTATTAAGACACTGAAGGAACTAAGGAAGATACAAATAAATGGAAGCACATATAGTATTTATAGATAGAAATAATTAGCATCACTGAAATGTAAAACAATCTACAAATTCAACACAATTCCTGTCATCACATTAAGTGCAAATGGTGAAGGCCTGGGAAGGTCAATGGGGGAAAAAGAGGAGACATCTGTAATACTTTCAACAATAAATATAAATTAAAAAAAAGAAGAAGACAGCAAGTGTGTATGGAACCACATAAGAGCCCAAATAACAACAGAAATCTTGAGAAAAGAAGAACAAAGTTGAAGGAATCATGCTACCTGATATCGAACTACACTACAAGGCCTAAGAGCCTGGTAGGCCATAAAAACAAGCATAGAGGTCACTGGGACCGAATAGAGAGCCCGGAAATAAACCCACAGCTTATGGTCAACCAATACCTGACAAAGGAAGCAAGCGCATACAACGGGGTAAAGAGTCTCTTCAATAAATGGTGTTGGGAAAACCAGACAGATACATGCAAATAACGAAACTAGACCACCAACTTACACCTTACACAGGAATAAACTCAAGGTGGATTAAAGACTTGAATGTAAGACTCAAAATGATAAAAATCCTGGGGGGAAAAAAACATACACAGTTAAATCTTGGACATTTCTCATAGCAATATATTTTCTGATATATCACCTCAGATAAGGGAAACAAAAGAAAAAAATATAGAAATGGTATTGCACAAGACTAAAAAGCCAGTGTGGCCCAGTGGGTGAGTGTCAACTCATCAACCAGGAGGTCAAGGTTCAATTCCAGGTCAGCGCACATGCGCGAGCTGCAGGCTCAATTCCCAGGAGGGGAGAAGCAGGAGGGAGCCGATGGGTCATTCTCTCTCTTCATTGATGTTTGTATCTTTCTCTCACTCTCCCTAATATCAATAAAAACATATATATTTTTTTAAAAGTAGAGTGACATTTAAAAAATAAAGTTTTGCACAGAGGAAATCAACAACAAAATGAAGACAACCACTAAATGAGATAACACATTTGTTAATAATAAATCTGATGAAAGGTTAATATCCAAAATTTATAAAGTACTTTTACAACTCAACAACAAAAAAATAAACAGCCGAGACCGGTTTGGCTCAATGGATAGAGCGTCGACTTGGGGACTGAAGGGACCCAGGTTCGATTCCGGTCAAGGGCATGTACCTTGGTTGCGGGCACATCCCCAGTAGGGGGTGTGCAAGAGGCAGCTGTCCGATGACTCTCTCTCATCGATGTTTCTAGCTCTCTATCTCTCTCCCTTCCTCTCTGTACAAAATCAATAAAATATATTTAAAAAATAAATAAACAAACAAACAATCCAACTAAAAGTCAGCACAGGACATGAGTAGACACTTCTCCAAAGAGGACATACATATAGATAGCAAGAGTCATATGAAAACATGCTCAAAGTCACTGATCATCAGAGAGATGAAAATTAAAGCGGCAATGCAGTACCATCTCACACCCGTCAGAATCGCTACATCAACAAATGAACAAATGACAAGTGCTGGCGAGGATGCAGAGAAAAGGGAACCCTTGTACACTGCTGGTGGGAATGCAGACTGGTGCAGCCATTATGGAAAACAGTATGGAGTTTCCTCAAAAAATCTAAAATGGAACTGCTTTATGACTCAGTGATTCAATATCGGGAATATATCCAAAGAAACCAGAAACACGATTGACAGAATGCACGCACACACTGTTCATCACAGTGTCATTTACAACAGCCAAGACCTGGGAGCAGCCACGGGCCATCGTGGTCAGTGTAAAGGCGTGTGGCACAGCCCACCACGGAACACTACTCAGCCTTTAAAAAGAAGGAACCGCCTTTGGCATGGCATGGAGGGACCTGGGGAGTGTCATGCCAAGTGAAATGAGTCAGTCAGAGCAACACACGAACCACATGATCTCCCGTGTGTTGGAACCTGATGAACAAAATAAACACAATAGGAGCAGACTCACAGAGACGGGCGGACCGCTGTCAGCGGGGAGGGGAGCTGGCGGGCGGGATGAATAAGAGAAGGGATTACAGACAGACACCGCACAGACACAGACACCGGTGACATGGTTCCGAGGGTGGCTCTGGGCTTGGGGGTGGTGCGGGGCCAGCTCCTTGCCTTCAGCGGGGCCCACCGCACTGGCACTGAGCCGAGACGCGTGGAGCCGTGCAGGGCGGCCTGGCGGCTGTCCTACCTGGGCTGGCTTCTGGCTGCACGGAGCTCAGAGGAAGGGGGGACGAAGATTCGGGGGCGTCTGCAGCTGGGTGTTCGGCCACCGGACAGATGATGAACCACCTCTTTCCCGTGTGCAGGACTGCGGGCGGGACAAGGGCAGCTGTGAGAGCGAGCGCGTTCTCCCGGGCCCTCGCCGCGGGCCCACTGCCATGGGCCGCCCGGGGATCGTCTCACCCTGAGGGCCACGCACGGCTCCTCCTGGCAGCCTGGGGCCCCAACAAGCACTCCCAACGCCGGCTTATTCCCAGGACACCCGAGGGACGGTCACTGAAGGGGCACGGCCAGCAGGAGGCCAGCAGGCAGCGGGAATCTATGCCACCCTCTCAACACCTGGCCCAGACAGGGAGGACATGGGCGAGGTCACTGCACGGTCCAACAACCCCAGACACGCTCCGGGGGCCCTGTCACACGCGGCGGGAGGAAGCAGGGACCCGAGCTTAGGGCCCAGGAGGCACATACCGTTCTGCTGATACACCGGGGCGTTGGCTCGGGACTGGCCATTCTCCTGAGGGAGGTGAAGGCGGCGGTCAGGCCCCGCAGACGGAGCACGCGGCCTCGGCGCCGGGCACCTCCCCCACGCTGCCCCGCAGGCTCTCCCGCAGGAGGGCGGTGGCTGCTGCCTGCAGGGCCCGGAGTGGGGGGCCAGGCCCCGCCCTCCCAGGCGCCCCAGCTCACCTCCCCCGCACTCAGGCTGCCGGTGCCAAGGGGCGGCGGGCTTGCCCCCGGGTCGGAGCCACGGTCGGCGTCCGTGTCCTCACTGAGCATGTCCTCCGCCTTGTCCATGACATCCTTCATCTGCTCAATGAACGTCTCCCGCTCGGCCTGGAGGATGAAGTCGTGCTCCACCTGCAACGGCACACGCAGCCCTGCCCTGGGGGCTCCCGGGCACACGCAGCCCTGCCCTGGGGGCTCCCGGGCGCACGCAGCCCTGCCCTGGGGGCTCCCGGGCGCACGCAGCCCTGCCCTGGGGGCTCATGGGGCACACACAGCCCTGCCCTGGGGGCTCATGGGGCACACACAGCCCTGCCCTGGGGGCTCATGGGACACACGCAGCCCTGCCCTGGGGGCTCCCGGGCACACGCAGCCCTGCCCTGGGGGCTCCCGGGCACATGCAGCCCTGCCCTGGGGGCTCCCGGGCACACGCAGCCCTGCCCTGGGGGCTCCCGGGCACACGCAGCCCTGCCCTGGGGTTCATGGGGCACACGCAGCCATGCCCTGGGGGCTCCTGGGCACACGCAGCCCTGCCCTGGGGGTTCATGGGGCACAAGCAGCCCTGCCGTGGGGGCTCCCGGGCACATGCAGCCCTGCCCTGGGGGCTCCCAGGCACACGCAGCCCTGCCCTGGGGGCTCCTGGGCACACGCAGCCCTGCCCTGGGGGCTCCCGGGCACACGCAGCCCTGCCCTGGGGGCTCCCGGGCATACGCAGCCCTGCCCTGGGGGCTCCCGGGCACACGCAGCCCTGCCCTGGGGGCTCCCGGGCGCACGCAGCCCTGCGTGGAACTCGCGGGGCACAGCAGCGCTGAACGTGGGCCTGCAGATCTCCACCAAGTGGCCTGCTTGCTTCTGCTCTGCACTAAACCCGGGGGCAGAAGCGGCGGCGGCCTGGCCTCAGCTCAGGGCTGCACCGTTCAGCAAGAGAAGCCGAGGCCTGAGCAGCAGCCCGCGGGGACCCAGACCCAGCAGCCACTGCTGAAGCTGCAGGACAGGGAAGGCTGGCAACAAGGGGCTGGCAGCCAAGTGCCCAAAGGGCCTGGAGGAGGCAGCCTGGCCAACCCAGAGGCAGGGCCGCCGACACAATCACCTGGCAGACACCACGTACCATGTAGGTGGCGATCTCGTCAGGTGCGTCCCCATCCAGGTCGAACTTGAACGTTACCATCTTGTGGTTGTGTGTCTCCAGCTGGCACTCCACCATCTTGTCGCCTGTGTTGCACACCTGCAGGTCCAGGACAGTGAGACCAGGTGTTGCACACCGGCTGGCCCGGGGCGGGGGGTAGGGTGGGGGGCCAGGTGTTGCACACCAGGGCGAGGGGGAGGGGCCAGGTGTTGCACACCCGCGGGCCCAGGGCAGGGGGGTGGGGAGGCCAGGTGCTGCACACCCGGGGTCGTGGGGAGGGGCGGCAGGTGTTGCACACCCGTGGGCCGGGGCGGGGGACCAGGCGTTGCACACCCGCGGGCCCAGGGCGGGGGGCCAGGTGTTGCACACCCACGGGCCCGGGGCGGGGGGGCGGGGAGGCCAGGTGTTGCACACCCGTGGACTGGGGCGGGGGGCCAGGTGTTGCACACCCGCGGGCCGGGGCACACCCGCGGGCCGGGGCGGGGGGCCGGGTGTTGCACACCCGTGGGCCGGGGCGGGGGGCCAGGTGTTGCACACCCGCGGGCCGGGGCGGGGGGCCAGGTGTTGCACACCTGCAGACCAGGTGGGAGCTCCCGCCCCCTCCCCCGCTGCCTCCTCACATTCAGGATGGTCAGCCGGGGCCGGCTGAGCCTCTCCGGGCGGGAGCGCATGCGTGTGGACCTGCGGTGGTGTTTCCGGGCCGGCCTGCCTTCCAGCCTCCCTGCTCCAAAGGTGCCGTCCCCGCTGTCACTCAGCTCCCTCCCAGAAGGGGCGTCAGACCCTCCGTAGCTGTCAGGAAACCAGGGTTACTCACCCCTGAAAACGACGGCACACCGGCTCCCGCAGGAAGCTCAGCTAGACCACCGGAGGGCTGCAGCCAGCCCAGCCCCACGGGCACCCCTGCACGGGGCCCTCCTGCCTGCCGGCCTGGGCAGCACCATGGTGGCGAGGGACACGGGGGCTTTCTGACCCAGGACCTTGTCCTCTAGGCCTCCTGTCCTATCAAGCAAGCCTCCTCGTGGTAAACACAAAATTCACAAACAATCCTCTCCCATGCCTCAGTTTCCCTATCTGTGCAAAAGCAACAGAAACATGCCCACCATGTGGTTTGCTGCAAGTTTGAGGAGAACTTGCAGAGCAGTGAGGTTGGTGCTGACCTACCAAGAGGGTGGGACATAGGGTTACTTCCTGTAACCAGTTCCCTCCAAAACTCCACACGCCCATGCCTGGGAGCCACGGGGACGGGGTGTGGGCCCTGCCCTCCCAGTCTCCTCCCCATCAGCACCTGGAAACCCTCGCACACAGACCAGCCAGGACCAGGACACAGCCCGGGCCATCGGACAGCCAAACTCCAGCACGAGCTGGCCAGGACCCGGAGGCTCCCGGGGCCCAGCACTCAGGAAGGCCCCACTGATGTCAAGCCCTGCCACGTGAGGGGCCGGGCAGGCGGGTCCCCGTGACATGGCCGCGGGCCGGCTGGCCGTACCTCTCACAGCTCTGCAGGCCAGGCTGCGCGTCCTCGGAGGCCTGCTCCTGAAATAAACACAGGAAGGGTCACAGCTCCCATAGCCCGGGCCCGCCCCGCCCTCCTGCCCGAAGCGAGCAGACGACAGAGGGCAGCGAGTGAGGGTTTCCCCTTGTTGGAGCCAGGCTGATCCCTAGAAGCCTTCCCAAGCACACTAATCCCCTCTGGCCATCCCCACAAGGAAGCACACCGCCCACAGGGCTTGTAAAGAACCCACACCTTCCACCTGGAATGCATCTGAGGAAACTGACGTCTGGGGACAGCAGAGGCCGGTGAGCAGGCAACATGTGTCCCAACGCGCACACCCCGCCTCCCCACGCCTAGGGCTGAGACCGGCACAGGGCAGGCATCAAGGGGCCGTGCGGGAGGCCCGGCCCACACACCTCGGGAGCCAAGTCCACGGTCAGCTGGACGGCCGAGCTGAGGCCGGAGAGCCCTGGCCCGCTGGTCAGGGGCAGGTTGGCGGGGGGCAGCACAGTGGCCTGGACAGGCAAGCTCGAAGTCGCAGCCATGGGCGCAGGGGCCTGCGAGCTGGGGAGCTGCGGCAGGCGCTCAGGGGCAGCGGGGGGCAGCCCTTCTGGCACAGGCGGGGAGAGGACGGCGGCAGGAGTGGGCCCCGTGGGGGCCGGGGCGGTGACATCCACAGCGTACGGAGGCGGGTGGCCAAGCAGGACCTGTGAGCACAGGAGGCGCACAAGTTGGAGTGCCACTGCTGTCCGGGCCCGGCAGCTGGCCACGGCAGCGCCTCCCTGTCCGGGCGGGTGAGCAGGCGCGGGGGTCTGAGGCGCCCCCACTAAGGCACTCCCTCCTGCCCAGCGAGCCCTGGCCTCTGAGAACGCTTGTACACAGACTTGGAAGAAACAAAGGGAGGCGCTCCGAGTCCCCATTTGTGTAAACTCTAACCTAGAATCACGCTTCCCTTTTGCACATCTAGTGAGGGCTTGCACCGAACGCTGCCCTGCTTCCTGCCTCCGAGGGAGAAGCCCTGGACCTTGGCCTTCGTGGGGTGACCTGGATGCTGGGCCTGACTCCCCACTGCCCTAAGAGCTCTCAGTGTAAAAATAGCGTGGTCGGAAATGAATGGACCCCCCTGGACCTGCTAGCCTGAGACCGCTCGGCCACCGGGGAGGTGGGGCAGCCCTCGGTAAAGCCAAGCAAGCACAGGCCCGAGCCTCCCCACCGGCTCTGGCTTTCCCCACACACCTTGACCCGTGAGTGGACGCTGCTCGGAGCCACGAGCAGCCCAGGGCCTGCATAGCCAGGTGCCGGCTGCTGGACGTGCTTAGACAAGCGCCCTGTGTCCAGAGAAGCCACGTTCCTTCTCCAAGTGCCAGCCCCGCTGGGACTCAGACCGCGAGAAGCATGCCCAGGAGTCTGTGCGACTCAGGCCGGCTCTCAGCCGGACCGGAGCGGTGCCGTGAGCGGCCCCGGCACCCATGCTGATCAAAAGGAGGTAACCGGCCCCCTGAGCGGGCGGGAGCCCAAGTTTTAAAAGGAAAGTACGGTGCCCATGGCTCAGGCTATGAGGTTTAGGGCCAGGTGCGAAGGCACCAGGAGGGAGGGCACCAAGTGAGAGTGCCCAGGCAAGAGGCCCCACCCCACTCCTCTCCTCAGAGGGGGGACCAAGCCCTGACTCCAAAACTCAGGGTGGGCAGGGAGCAGAGCCACTCGAGGCTCACCCAGCCTGCCGGTGCGTCTGCACCTCTTCGCTGTCCGTGTGCACCGGCCAGATCCCCTCCTGACCCAGGACGTCATCCCTGTCTGCCATGCCCACCCTGGCGCCGGCAGCCACACGCTCCCGGCCACTGCCTGGACCCCAACTGTCAGACCCCCGAACCTGGCGCCCCGTCTCCCCACTGACATGGAGTCATTAACCTACCTCGTTTTGACAGGGGACAAGATGGACAGTGTAAGCCTCCCAGCGCCCTCAGAGGGGCTGCCAGGCCCCACTAGGTGAGGGCAGGTGCCGGACACAGCGAGGCTGGGACCCCACAAGCATCCTCTGCCCCTGCTGTGGAACCTTGGGCTCGGACAGGTGCTGGGAGTGGGAGGAGGCAGCAGACCCAGGGTGGAGCCAAGCCTGTGAGCAGCGCTGCCTGCTGGCCTGCCCCGCCGGGGCCCGCCCTCCAGCCACGGGCCAAGACGAGCAGAGCCTCAGGCCCTTGCAGCTTGGGCACCACGGGGTCTCCGAGTGCGGGCAGCAGGCCCTCCTGGCGGGCGGTTACCTGGCTCCCCCCCCGGGGGACAGCGGCCGGCTCAGGAAGGTGGGTGGCGCTCGGCAGGTGGGGCTGCGGCAGCACGGGGGGTGCCGGCTGCAGAGGGGCAGCCTGCACTGCCTGCGCCGTGTGGAGAGGAGAAGGCGGGACGTCACTGGGCACCATCTGCGGGAAGGCCGCCTGGTACACGGGCTGGGCCGGGAGCTGGGCCACGGCCGGGTGGACGGCCGGGTGGATGGACAGCGTGGCCACGCCCTGGGAGGCCACGGCCAGCAGAGGGATGGCGGTGGCGGTGGCCGCCACATTTGGCACAATGGTCTGGCACGGCACGGCCAGGGGTGCCCCGGCGGCGTGGGGAAGCTTGACCGTTGGCAGAGGCAGGGCTGGGGACGCGGGCAGGGAGCCGGCGGCGCTGAGCGGGAGGCTGGGCAGGATGACGGCGGGAGAGAAGTACTGCGAGGGAGGCGGCCCTGTGGGCCCAGTGGCCGCCGGCAGGTCAGGGAGCGCCGAGGGGAGGCTGTCCACGGTGGCCAGCGGAGCCGCGGGTGGGATGACGGGAGGTGGGGGCATCTGAAAGAGAGGGAGCTTGTCGGCCCTGGGGCATGGCCCTCGGGAGGCTCAGCCTGGGCCGGCGCCCGAGACACTGCTGTGCAGCTGCTGCCCAGGGAACCCACAGGAAACCCGGCTCAGTGGAGCCAGGTGCGTCCACCAGGGAAGCAAGGACAGGGGTGGGGTGGCCGGAGGAGCCCTCTATGGCCCACCGCGGAGGGGCGCGGTGCCGAGGATGCCAGGCATATCTCAGAGTGCCTGGTCGGCTGTGCCACCAGGACTGGGGAGGTCAGGTGTCCCTACCGCGGGAAGCGCCCAAACCTTCTGGTCCGAGGCACCCCGCACCTGGCCCAGGGTCTGCACTTCACACACAGCGCTTCTTGGCCAGCACTCTTCGGAGTAGGGCCGCCCCCAGCGTGCATGGGGCCACCCCCGGCGTGCATGGGGCCCACCCCCCTGGTGTACATGGGACTGCCGCCTGGCGTGCATGGGGCCGCCCCCTCCCCGGTGTGCATGGAGCCCACCCCCCTGGTGTACATGGGACTGCCGCCTGGCATGCATGGGGCCGCCCCCTCCCCGGTGTGCATGGGGCCCACCCCCCTGGTGTACATGGGACTGCCGCCTGGCGTGCATGGGGCCGTCCCTGGTGTGCATGGGGCCGGCCCCTCCCCGGCGTGCATGGGGCCGCCCCCCATCGTGCATGGGACTGCCGCCTGGCATGCATGGGGCCGCCCCCTCCCCGGCGTGCATGGGGCCCACCCCCCTGGTGTACATGGGACTGCCGCCTGGCGTGCATGGGGCCGTCCCTGGTGTGCATGGGGCCACCCCCGGCATGCATGGGGCCCACCCCCCTGATGTACATGGGACTGCCGCCTGGCGTGCATGGGGCCACCCCCGGCATGCATAGGGCTGCTGAACACGCAGGCCTGACTGTGTGTCAGCGGCGCCGACCTCTCCCTTAGGTCGTCAGATAAGGAAACGGCAGCAGCCAACACAACCACCGTCTGCTGTGACTGATCCAAACTCAACCTGCTTTGGCAGACTAGCGAACAATACATCTCCGAGTGCTGCCGAGGTTTAAGAACCAGTCTGTGTGCCATGAGGTGAAAGGGGTGGCAGCTGCTGCCCGAAGAGAAAGCCGTTCTGGTGGCGGCACACGCACGTCACACACACACGGGCCCAGGCAGCTCGAGGGCAGGGACGAGATGCAGGCCAACCTCTGTGCGTTTGAAAAGCAACTCATGCCGTGGCCACCACCAGGCGAGGGGCGGCTAACTGGACGGAAGGGAAACCAACGGCCACCAGAGGAGGACGAGGGCTGCCCTGACAGCTGAGGGCCAGAGCCTGTGCTGGGGGGGAGCTCGGGACACGCCTGCTTCCCCAGGAAGCGGCACGTCCATCACAGCTTGGTGCCCCCATGAGGCAGAGCAACCTCAGGACCATCACTGGTGCGAGCCTGGGCAATGGCACCCGCACCAAGGACCACAGTCATGCGCCACCCCGCCCTGCTCACAGTCAGCAGGAGAGCGGCCGGAGGGGGCGGTACCTGCGGGGGGACGTGAGCGAGTGGCTGCAGAGGCACCGGTGGCATCTGGACGGGCGTCGGCTGGGCCGGAGCCACCTGGGAGGTCGAAGCCAGGTACGGCGGCAGATGAGCGGGCACCGGCTGCAGAGGGCGCATGGGCTGTGGGGCCAGGACCTGCGGGGCCAGGACCTGTGGCAGGGGTGCTGGCTGGGCCAGGGGAGGCTGTAGGGAGAGGGGCGTCTTTTACACAAGTGCTCGGACATAACAGATAATCAGTGAGTGTGCAAACACACATGCACACACATGCATATCCCCACACATACTTACACACCCAGCAGGGGTCCAGGACAGGCAGATTTGGACAAACTGCTGTGTGTGCATGAGGCCCCTCCCAGTGCTATGGGACTTGAATTCCGCAAACACAAGAGACACCCCACACCCCCTCCCCAACTCCCATGAACACCCTGGGCCCAGGACTGCCAAGGCTGATTGTTGGAGGAGACAGAGGTACCAACGGTAGCCACAGGAGGGGCTGCCCACACTCACCTGGAGGCCAGAGGGCATGGGCTGGCCTGGGCAGGTCAGCACAGGGGCAAAGCTCACGGCTGGCTCCGGGAAGTGCTGCGGTGGGAGCGGAGCGCGGGTGGAGGGCGGCATGGAGCCCGCCGGCAGGCCAGGCTGCAGAGAGCACGGGCACACTATAATTTAACCCGCCCCGCCACGAGCTTGACAGATGCAGGACCACCCTCACTCCCCATGCCCATCACCTGTGAGGAATGGTTTGCCTTGGAACATGACTCACAGAACAAGGTGTGGCGGCCTTAAGGCAAAAATGGTCACAACTCCTAACCAAGGAATGTTCTAGAACATTAGCGCCACAGAATATGACGCAATCGTGAGAAAAGACCATTATAAGGACTTCGGAGAATTGTGGAGAAACGCCTGTTGTGACAACAGTGCGGAAAGGTAAAATGCATTTGTTTCCTGACTGTAACACGCACATGCGTATACACGCACACAACACAGAAACATGAAGGCAGACAGCAGGCCTGCAACCTGGGCCTCTGCAGAGTGAGGTCTCCAGCACAGAGGGGATGGGAGCCAGAGCCCGAGCAGGGCTGTAGGGGGCCAGTCAAAACCGCTGCTAACGTGTTCATTTGTGGGTGCGACACTGGGAGCAGGTTGTTTTCAGAAGGCTTGACCCGGTAGGTACAGGCTGAAATGTTTATGGGCAAATATCTTCTTGTTTGGGATTTACTTCAAAACAGCGGGGTAGTGAGAAGCAAGAGGCCGCCTGCACTCCGCGTGCGGGGACAGTTCTCACTGGGGCTTCTGGGTCACAGGACAGTCATCTGTCACCTGCGGCCTGCTCTCGGCGTGTCCGCCTCCCACAGCGAATGTGCGACAGCAGCACGGGCGGACACACCTGCAGTGCACTCACCGGGGCCTGGCCGGGCACACTGGCTCAGGAGGCCCCGACCCCTCCGCCCTGCTCTCCTTCACCACCATCGCCCTTCCCCAGGAGACCACCGACATGGGGAACCCCTCCCACCCTCCGTCCAAGTTGTTTCTGCATAAACAGGCAGGACATGGGAGGATGCACTTTGGTCGCACCCAGCTCGGCCTTCCCCTCTGCAGGCAGGAGCTGGACAGGCAGGGGCTGCCTGGCCGGGCGGCCGGGAGCCAGAGGCCTGACCCTGCACCTGGAGAAGTGGCTCGGCTCCCACCGGGCAAGCCCAAAGCCACCGGAAACGTGGCTCAGGGCTCAGGCACCTCCCACGGGTTTTCTCTGTGTCTCCCGGCAGGCCTCCAGCCTGCAGCCTGCACTTCCCACACAGACAGACGGACCTCCTGCGCACCTGCTCCAGCAGGCGGAGCTGAACACGCCGCACAGGGAGGCCCATGGGGAAGGGCCAAGCTGACTCACCGTGGCGGGCTGCGGGTAGGCCCCCAGCGAGGGCAGGCTGTGCGGCAGGACGAGCCCCTCGCTCATGCTCACGCTCACGGGGGCGCTGCACACGCTCTGGGCCGTGAGTGGGGCTGCGTCTGCCAGCGAGCCCAGCACCACGCTCTGCTGGCTGCTCTGGGAGTCCGAGTACACGGTGGAGCCCTGGCCGCTGTCGAGCGTGCTGTCCGCTGGGGAGGACAAAAGCACAGCTCAGAGTGGGCCCCCAACGGCACCCCCATGACACTCCACGCAGGCCGGGAAGGCCCATGTGGGCTCACACACGCGCACTCGCTCAGCCATACGCTTTCACCTGGGAGACAGGCTTTGCTTCCAGGGGGTGTGAGTAATGAACGTGCATCTTTTACATGACCAATGGCAGAGCCCTAAGGGCTCCCTGCACCCAGGAACGGCGCTGGCAGCCCACCCTCACAGCCTGACGCCTGGGGGGCTGCCTGAGGCCACGCCCAGTCCGCACAGCCCGGCAGCGGCTCCCGCCTGGCGTAGACGGGCCTCAGACAGTGCCGGGCGGCCTGGAAGCGAGCCCTCGTCCAGCCCTGCAAGGGCGCGGGGTCTCAAGAGGCCGGAGTGTCCACGTCAGAAGACTCCGTTCGGCTGTCACCTGTGTCTTATGGTGGGGAGGCTGCAAGACCCTGACCATCTTCACCTCCAGTGAAGCCGCAGATCTGGGTCCAAACCCGGCCCCCGAGGCACAGGCCGGCTCTAACTTGGTTGGCAAACGGGGCTGACAAGGCACTCACCCCACAGGGGCTGAGAGGGCCCCTGGAGGCCTTTCTTGCAGTCAGCCCCACAGGGCCCGGACATGGCCAGTGGGCGGGGCTGCCACAGCTGGGGCGGGGCTTGTGAAGGGAGCAGACAGGGCCCACATGGCCCATGGGCTCTTCTGGCCAAAGGTCCAACAACTATTGAGATGGCACTCCAGGCTTGCTTCCAGGTCCCAAAAGCTACACAGACGTTACCATTTGTCACTGATGCACCCCAAGCTGCTTCCTTAGCCGGTCACTGTTCAGATGGGTGAAATCATTTAAACAAATAAAATTAAGGGGCAGCTTTTCAATTCTGTATAAAACAGTTTCTCCCCAGGACTGACTAGGGCTTGTTTTAACCAGGAAGATGTGAGAGAGTTGAGGCAGGAGTGTGCAAAAGCAGCCGGACAAGAGGCTCTGGTTTCTGAGGGCTGTTATTCCACTCATTCAGAGAGACAGACAGACAGGCAAGGAGACAGACAGAAAGGGAATTCACAAGAGAGACCCAGAGGAAGACAGACGGGAGAGCCGCTCGGAGGACGTGAAGAGACCGACAAGCCTCGGGCAGAGCGGCTCTGACCTCCGCGCAGGCGAGTGCATGTGCTTCCATTTGTCGCCGAGGACGCGGGTGTGCTGCCCAGGCCCGTCTGCCAGCCGTCCGTCCACGGGCACCGTGGCCAGGGGCACGGCTGTGCATGGGCTGCCTGCTCTGACCGAGTGAGGTTCTGAGTGTGCAGGGTGCCGTGGTGTGAGGCGTGCGCCTGGGCGTGTAACGGCACGTGCAGGCTCTCTGCGTTGCTGGCGTCAGTGGCCCAGGGAGGCGCTCCCTGGCTTCAGCACATCCTCCTCGGATGTGACAAGGCAAGCTCTCCGTTCCCATCCTAGACCCTGGCCAGCTGGCGGTTACATCTGTAGTGTGTGCGCTTTTTCCTCCAAAATTTATGCACGCCAATTGACTTTGTGGGTTATAAGAAAACGGAGTGTGATGCTATAGCAGTTTAGTCTCCGAAACAAACTTGAGGAGGTTTGAAAGGAAGCAACCAGTAAACAGTCCCTGCGTTTAGCTCAGCCTACTCTGAGAACCATCCGTGCGTGTGCTAAGTGAAGGTGTGCCTACCGAGTCCATCACACAGGCTGTTCCACCTTCCCACTCCACAACCTAACTGCAGCCCACGGCGCTGCCCGCCACTCCGTGCTCCTCTGGCCAGACAGGAAGGCTGCCTGCCTCGGCCGCAGTGGCGGCGTGGGCACGGAGGGCAAGGCAGGCAGAAGCTGCTCGGTCCAAAGGCCTGAGGTGGAGCCAGGCACGAACGGGCCCACCCCCACCGGAACACACCGTCTCAAGGTTCGCCACTAGGAGGCAGGTCACCGGGGCACAGACACTCCTAAGGACAAAGGTCACACAGCACGGCCACTCCCCTTCAGCCCGGCGGCCCTCGGACGCCCTGTCCGAGCAGACGTCACCCGGTGCTGAGCCCTGGGCCCCATGCTTCCGGCCCGTGCCCTCCAGGGTGAGGAGTCGTCGGAGCTGATATACCCTGGGCTGGCCCGGAGGCTCTGGAGACCTGCACGCCTGTGCCCACCTGGCCAGGCGAGCTGGCAGAGCTCTGTGCGGCGCCAGGGAAGAGCCAGGGGTGCCACCCCACACCCACAGGGGAGCCGGGGGACGGGGAGCAGCACTCACAGGCCAGGGAGGTGGCGCTGGCCGGCAGCGCGGGGGGCAGGAGGTGCTGGTCCGCCTCGGGCTCCTCGGGCTCCGGCGGCACCGCCTGTGTGTGGTAGGTCACCTGGACCTGCAGGGGCGCGGGCGGAGCCCTGACCGTGTCGGGGCTGCCCGGGTCCTGCCGCTCCTGTGGCTGCAGCACCGGCCAGATCCTCTCCCGCCGCCACTGGATCAACGCCACGCGGTCGCGGATGGACTTGGCCACGATCTTCACGTCGCTCTCGTGGAAGAACCCAGACTCGATCTGCAAAGGGACCCCTGCTGTTGCTGGGACCATTCCCCCGCCCCCTCCCCCTCCCGCACAGCCCACTGCCCAGCCTGTCCTCCACCCGCACTGCCCCGTCACAGGGTCTCAGCGCGAAGCCCCTCCTCAGGCCCCACTCCCATCCTTCAGGGACGCTCTCAGCATCCCATGAGGAATGGCCTCCATGCCGACTACACCACAGGGGGCGCGACCCTCGGGACCTCACTCCCATGAGCCAGAGGGAAGGAAGCAACCTATTGTCTGAGCCCTGAGGCTGCCTGGTCCACCCCCCCGCCCCCGGTCCTCCCCCTGCCGCAGTGGCCCGAGCAGGACGGTGCTGGCCGATGCCTGTGCTGGGGCAGCGGCGAGGCTCCGAGGCCAGCACTGTCCCTGGCATTCCCCCAGCGGCACGGCTCTGCAGCGGGAGACCAGGGCGGAGGGCACCATGCCTGGCGGCACTCGGGGCCCGGCACACCCCACAAGGTGTTGGGGAGCATTTGTAAAGGAGCCGAGGTTCCCAGGAAACACCCCGCTCTCTCCGAGATCCGTGGTCAAACCACACACGAGGGAAGCCGGCTCCTGCCGTCATGTGGGATCCCATGCAGAACAGAGACCGGAGGAGAAGCCTGCGGCGCGGCCGGGAGCGTACGGCGCCATTTCCAGGCCCAGAGACACGCAGGCAGACGGCCACAGCGTGTGGCAGGGACAGCCCACGCCACGCCATCCCGGAGTCCACAGGCTCGCAGGGCTCCGGAGACAGCCCGGCCGCGGGGCGGCTGCACTGGGCTCTGACCGCCGGGAGCTGGGCAGCTCCGTTCTGTCCGAGGCCGCTTGGGCGCATACTGGCAACCTTCTGGACGCCCCCATCCAGGAGATGGATGAACCACGACCCCAGCGTGCCCCCCAGGCTCAGCGGTGAGAGCAGGGGCCGGGCCGGGGTCGCACACCCCGCCCAGGGCACAGCCGCCTGACGGGAGGCCCCGAGAGGCTGCTGGCTCTGCTGCCACTTCTATTTCTGCCGTGACCCACTTTCCCGCTGCAGCCCAGGCGCCGCCCACCACGCAGTCTCCAGGCCGCTTGTTTCCAGCCTCGTAGGTCACCGCGAAAGCCAGTAACCCGAGGTGAGGCAGGAGGAGGCTGGCTTATAACCTCGAGAACCCCGCGCTGGGCTCCCACCCCCTCACCGGGGCACCGAGGGGAACCTCCAGATCAGAGACCCGCTTTCTCTCACTCCTGCATCGTCTTTCTGCCTCACGCCCCCTCCCCATGTCCCTGCTGAGGACCTGCTAGGAGGGAACAGGTGAATTTAGAGGGAGCAGAGCTGTCCTCCCTGCTCCTCCCACCCTGAGGGGCCACGTCACAACCACAGCAGGTGCTGGAATCTCTCCCCTCCCCCGGTGCTCTCTGATCTCACTACCAGTGCTCCTCACTGACCTCAGCCCAGTGCTCACCGACCTCACCCCTGGTGCTCACCAACCTGCCCCCGGTGCTCACCGACCTCACCCCTGGTGCTCACCAACCTGCCCCCAGTGCTCACCGACCTCGCCCCTGGTGCTCACCGACCTGCCCCCGGTGCTCTCTGACCTCGCTCCCGGTGCTCCCCGACCTCGCCCCTGGTGCTCACCGACCTCAGCCCCGGTGCTCACCGACCTGCCCCCGGTGCTCTCTGACCTCAGCCCCGGTGCTCTCTGACCTCGCCCCCGGTGCTCTCTGACCTCGCCCCCGGTGCTCACCGACCTGCCCCCGGTGCTCACTGACCTCAGCCCAGTGCTCTTCACTGACCTCAGGCCAGTGCTCCTCACTGACCTCAGTCCCGGTGCTCACCGACCTCGCCTCCGGTGCTCACTGACCTCAGCCTAGTGCTCCTCACTGACCTCAGGCCAGTGCTCCTCACTGACCTCGCCCCCGGTGCTCACCGACCTCACCCCTGGTGCTCACCGACCTCAGCCCAGTGCTCCTCACTGACCTCACCCCCGGTGCTCCTCACTGACCTCGCCCCCGGTGCTCACTGACCTCGCACCCGGTGCTCACCGACCTCGCCCCTGGTGCTCACTGACCTCAGCCCCGGTGCTCTCTGATCTCGCCCCCGGTGCTCTCTGACCTCGCCCCCGGTGCTCTCTGACCTCGCCCCCGGTGCTCTCTGATCTCACCCCCGGTGCTCTCTGACCTCGTCCCCGGTGCTCTCTGACCTCGTCCCCGGTGCTCTCTGACCTCGCCCACGGTGCTCTCTGGCCTCTCCCCCGGTGGTGCTCACCGACCTCATCCCCCCCCGGTGGTGCTCACCGACCTCACCCCCGGTGCTCTCTGACCTCGTCCCCGGTGGTGCTCACCGACCTCGCCCCCGGTGCTCACCGACCTGCCCCCGGTGCTCACCGACCTCAGCCCCGGTGCTCTCTGATCTCACCCCCGGTGCTCTCTGACCTCGTCCCCGGTGCTCTCTGACCTCGTCCCCGGTGCTCTCTGACCTCGTCCCCGGTGCTCTCTGACCTCGCCCCCGGTGCTCTCTGACCTCGTCCCCGGTGCTCTCTGACCTCGTCCCCGGTGCTCTCTGACCTCGTCCCCGGTGCTCTCTGACCTCGTCCCCGGTGGTGCTCACCGACCTCGGCCCCAGGGCTCACCGACCTCGGCCCTAGAACGAGGCAGCTCCCAGTGGGGGTCCCCTGTGCTCTTGCTGAGTTTCCTTGCTAGTGCCTTCCATCTACAACTGGCCGTCTCACCCCGACGGGGCCGCAGGGGTGCCGGCACAGAGGTTCCCCGGGGCCCTCCCATGCTGCCTGCCCCTCAGCCTACAGCCCCTCCTCTCAGGCTCTGGACCGCTGCTCTCTCTGGGATCCGCCCTGAGAGCCGTGTGCCTCCGCCTCGGGAGAAGTCCGAGTGAAGGCTGCGGGCGGTGAGCTCCTCAGGGCCTGGCGCCGGCCCAGGCCGCGGGGAGGCTGGGCCCAGAGGCCGGGCCCTGCTGCCAGCTCCGGGCTTTACGGCCAACAGCCACAGGACCAGCATCAGCACAGCCCGGCGGGAGCCGCAGGGCGGGCATGGGCACCCGCAGGGAGCGCGTTGGGTCAGCACAGCCGCTCCACCAATCCGCCCGCGCTCACGCAGAGCATGGGGACACGCTGTTCTGGTTTGGCCTGGAACTGAGCCGGGACATGCCTGCTGCGTGGACTGCGCTGCAGGGCCAGTGCTCCACATGGAAAGCTCTTCTGAGGGCGACGGGGGAGGGGCAGAGGGAGGAGGAACGCCAGGGCCTCCGCGGACCTGCCGCCAGCTGAGTGACAGCAGGGACGGGCGAGCCGGGGCCGGGGGGTGGCTGGGCTGCAGGAGGGCAGGCATCCCGGGCGGAAGCGTCCTCCAAGGAGGTGGGCAGATCCCACCGAGAGCAGCGGGGTCCAGACCCGAGCAGGAGGAGGAGGCTGCAGGCTGAGGGGCAGGCAGCGCTGGGAGGGCACCCGAGGGACCCTCTGCCAGCACCCCTGCGGTCCAGGCACTGCACGTTGGGCCGGCGTGGCTCCCCTGAAGCGAATCCCTCCGGGTGCAGGAGGGCTCCCGGGGCCCGCCCTGACACGGAGGGCGCACTGCTGGCTGCCTGCACTTCCCCAGCCCCCGGCCCTGGCCCCAACCTCACAGCCCAAGGCACCTGTGCCCCACGGCCGGCCCAGGGCGCACCCATCTCCTCGGAGGGCCCCCTTCCTGCCCGGTCGGTGTGCGCGGAGGGCAGTCAGTGTGGCCAGGACTCTGCACAGGGCCCCCCAATGCGCCGTGGTGCTTACTGTGCCCTAACTTCAGCAGAGCGCGAGGGGCCAGCGGCGGGGGGGCCTGCGCACACGGACGCCGGGCAGGGATAGGTCCATGTGACGCTCAGCACACGCAGGGCCAGCCCGGCACGGGCGCACGCATGTCTGCCTGTGACTGGCGGCTGGGAAGGGGCGGGCCGGTCCTGACCCGGGAGCCAGGCCACCAACAGGACCGCACACCCTCTGCCATCGGGTGCGGCAGGGCACAGGCCTGTCCGGGGGAAGGGAGGGCCGTGACCGGCCACAGGGTGCCCACTCCGCCCCCGCTGGCTGCTGCTCCCCCACCGCCCCTGCGGCCACTGGCCACCCTCGGCTGTGGCTCCGCACGCGCGTGTGTGGCCGGCCTGGCTCCTACTGGGGCAGGGCCTGGGCCAGCGGGAAGCTGCACTCTCCCTGGCGGCCCCTTCCTCCTCCCAACCCCCCCTGGATGCCCCTGTGACTTGTGGCACTTCCAACAGACGTGCACATTCACTGACATTTGGAGAAGGCGGGCTCGGTCTCCCGGACAAAGGCAGCCAGGCCCTCGCTCTCGCAGGGACCTGCTGGCTCTCACTCTGCCCGTTTCTCCAGGAAAAGGGTCTCGTCAGTGTCTCAGGAACCTGTCCCCTCTCTGCGACCCTGAGCACACCCGCCTGCTCCGCCCCTCCTGGGCCCAAAGCGGCTGCAACACAACGTAACAGACCAAACCCAGAGCCCACGTTCACGCAGCGTCGGCAAGAGTCCGGTCCGGCCAAGCAGGCCTTTCCCGACACCCGGTTCAGAGCCACGTCCTGCTTCTGCGCAGCGGGCATCCGACCCTGCTGCCCTCACGGACACGCAGCGCCCTCATTTCCCACGCTCCACCGCAGCACCCTCTGGCTTTGTTCTAACCCGGGACACCACAGGCTCTCAGGCTGTGCTCTCATTCCACCGCCCACAGCCCCCTCCACTGCCCCACCCTGCACCGCCCACCGCCCCCTCCACCGCCCACCGCCCCCTCCACCGCCCACTGCCCGCTCCACTGACCACCACCCTCCACTGCCCACCGCCCCCTCCACCGCCCACCGCCCCCTCCACCGCCCACCGCCCCCTCCACCGCCCACCGCCCCCTCCACTGCCCCACCCTGCTCCGCCCACCGCCCCCTCCACCGCCCACCGCCCCCTCCACCGCCCACCGCCCCCTCCACTGCCCCACCGCCCCCTCCACCGCCCACCGCCCCCTCCACCGCCCACCGCCCCCTCCACCGCCCCCACCCTGCACCGCCCACCGCCCCCTCCACTGCCACCCTCCACTGCCCACTGCCCCCTCCACTGCCACGCTCCACTGCTCACCGCCACCCACCACCCACTGCCCCCTCCACCGCCACCCTCCACCGCCCTCCACCCTCCACCGCCCACTGCCCCCTCCACTGCGACCCTCCGCCGCCCACCACAGTGACACTTTACCATCTCCTGCGCCACATCGTCCGGCGTCTCCTTCTCCAGGTCGAAGGTGAACTCTATGGCCCCGTTGTCCTTGGGCTTGCCCTTCAGTTTCTTGGGGTCCTCCACCCAGAGCCGCAGGGCAATGGTGGACTTCCTGCCGTGGTCCTCCTCGGCCAGCTCCACCCTCACGCCCGTGTCCTCGGCGAAGAAGGCGTGGCTGAGCAGGTCCTTGATCTCGTACCTGGCGGGGCAGTGAGGCACACCTGCTGGGGAGGCTCTGAGCTCTGGACCGTCCGTCCGTCTGTCCCGCCTGCTGCACTGCTCTGCCCCAGGGGCCAGCGCGGCTTACAGTGCACGCCCGCCTCCGGGGACAGGCCCGCCCGGCACATCTCACTGGGCACACTGGGCCCTTCTCTATGGCGAGAAGAAAGCGTGCCTGGGGGAGAGGCTCCCGGAGCCCGGAGGCCGGTCAGCCAGGCTGCGGTGAGACACGGCCGCCCCGGGCAGGGACCGGCGTCCCCTGGCTCCATGGCCTGAGCGTGGTAGCTGCAGGTTTGGGATGGACCACACAGATGACGATGAGCAGCCTGGAGCCCAGGAGAGAGAGCAAGACGAGCCGCCCGGGGAGGCTGGGCACAGGAGGCTGAGCCAGGGAGGCCGGGCACGGGGAGGCCTGGCACGGGGAGGCCGGGAACGGGGAGGCCTGGCACGGGGAGGCTGGGAATAGGGAGGCCGGGCACGGGGAGGCCGGGCACAGGGAGGCTGGGAATAGGGAGGCCGGGCACGGGGAGGCCGGGCACAGGGAGGCTGAGCCGGGGAGGCCGGGCACGGGGAGGCCGGGCACGGGGAGGCCGGGAACGGGGAGGCCGGGCACGGGGAGGCCGGGCACAGGGAGGCTGAGCCAGGGAGGCCGGGCACGGGGAGGCCGGGCACGGGGAGGCCGGGGACGGGGAGGCCGGGGACGGGGAGGCCGGGCACGGGGAGGCCGGGCACGGGGAGGCCGGGCACGGGGAGGCCGGGCACGGGGAGGCCGGGCACGGGGAGGCCGGGCACGGGGAGGCCGGGGACGGGGAGGCCGGGGACGGGGAGGCTGGGAATAGGGAGGCTGGGAACAGGGAGGCCGGGAACGGGGAGGCCGGGAATAGGGAGGCTGGGAACAGGGAGGCCGGGAACGGGGAGGCTGGGAATAGGGAGGCTGGGAACAGGGAGGCCAGGCACAGGGAGGCCGGGGACGGGGAGGCTGAGCCAGGGAGGCCGGGCAGGGTGAGGCCAGGAACAGGGAGGCTGGGCACAGGGAGGCCGGGCAGGGTGAGGCCGGGAACAGGGAGGCTGGGCACAGGGAGGCCGGGCAGGGTGAGGCCGGGAACAGGGAGGCTGGACACAGGGAGGCCGGGCAGGGTGAGGCCGGGAACAGGGAGGCCGGGCACAGGGAGGCCGGGCAGGGTGAGGCCGGGAACGGGGAGGCCGGGCACGGGGAGGCACAGGGAGGCTGGGCATGGAAGGCCGGGCACAGGGGTGTCCTTCAAGTCGGGAACAGAGGGATCCACCAGAGTCAACACAGAGAAAAGGCAAGGGGCAGAGCGAGGCCCCAGGAGCCCCCTGGTGGGCCGGAAGGAAAAGGGGCTCCAGGACAGTCCCTAAAGCCCGGGGCTGGCTCTGGGAGGCGGCCAAAGCCTCCGCAGCCAGCTGGAAAGGTTTCCGGGAGAAGTGCCCAGGCCGGCGCCGCTGGGACTCACCGCTCCTCCTTGTTTTTGCAGATGCACTCCCCGATGATCTCCTTGATCTCGGGGTCCTGCACTTTCTCAAAGCTGGCCGGCTTGATGCCCTGCGGGAGGAGCACAGTCACCCTGCGAGGTCCCACTGCTCGCACGGCCCCGAGGCCCAGGCAGGAAGTGCACCGGCTTCGGGTGGGGGCCGGCGGGCGTGAGCGGGGGAGAAAGCCTGGGACCCATGCCCTCTGTGGAGGAGGTTGGGCACGGGGAGGTGTGTGGAGGTGGGGCCGGTGGATCTGCCCAGGGGGCTGGGAGGCTGGAGGAGGAAATGCCCGCACAGGCCGGCCTTTCTCCCCCCTCATTCCGGGAGCCGAGGGCACGATCTGTAGGCACCGCAAGGGCCGCCGAGACCTGCCACTGAGGCACCGCAGGGCTGGCTTCCCAGGCCTGGGGCTCAGGCTTCTGCGAACGACTGTGCCTTGCAGTTCCCCCACCCGGGGCTGTGGAGCGACCCGGCCAGGTGACCTGGAGGCGGGGTGGCAGGGTGGGAACAAGCCTCCACGCGGACCAGAGCCCGGCGGGATGGCGGTGCTGGCAGACCGCAGACACCGCTGCAGGGAGGGGCCAGGCCGAGGGGTATCTGTCCACGGGGCGTGGCGCTGCCTGAGCGATACCTGAGGTGGGTTAATGTGTAAACCCTCACGTTCTCTCTCCTTCAGCAACACCCACCTCCGCAGCCTGTCCCGTGTCCTTTTTCTGCACAGAATGGGGGCACACATCCCCACGTCCAGGGGGGACAGGCCCGAGCAGACGGGAAAATGCAGGACCCCAGCAACTCCGCAGGCCAGGGGAGGCCCCTGCACCCACCAAGCCGGACCCCGGGACCACCCCGGAGCCAGTGGGGTCGTGCTGTGTCTGACGCGGGCGAGTCTGACACGGGACCTTGGGCTTCAGGAGCGAAGAGGGGTCCCGCTGCCATGGGGAAGGACGGCCCTGCGGGCGGGTGCGAGGACCTCCATGGCGGGGGGCACACTGTCACTGGCGCCCCTAAGCCGGCAGACTGCGCCGGAAGAACAGACGGGGGTCTGGAGGGCAGAGTCTGTGCTCGCTGCACGAAGCCGGGAGTTGACAGCACAGGGCCCCACGGAGCCTGGGCGGGTGTGGTGCACCAGGAGTGAGCTGGGTGTCACTGGCCCGAGGACACACTGAGGGTGGGGAAACGCGCTCCCGGCTGCTTCCGGGGGACAGGCAGCCCGCTTTCCCAAACCACGGTGCCACGGCGCCTCCAGACCCGGGCCGGGCTTGTTTCCGGGCCTGACAGGGCAGGGGGCTGCTGGAGAACGGGTGGCCGAGAGCACACCCTCGGGGCTCTGTCCAACGCCCCAGGCCAGCAGGTGGGCCAGAACGAGGGTCTCCAGGCGACTCCTCCCACCCAGAGCCAGCACCAGGTCTGGCTGGGCACCTGCTCTCAGCCCCGCCATCCTGAAGGAATGCCCACAGCTTCTCCCGCCAGCAGCACAGGGGGCGCACCAGCCGTGGGTCCTGACCACCGCAGGGCCTCCCCCCGAGCCCTACTCTCCTGCCTCCAGGCCTGAGCAGCATACAGGAGGGGCTTGGAGCTCACACGTGACCACTAACTCAGAACTGAGAACCAAAGGAGAGAGCTGAGCGACCTCCCAGGATGGCTCGGAAGTGTGCAGTGGGCTGGTGCCTGGGGTGCAAGAACCAGGTCCTCTGCAGAAGCCAGGAGCCCTGGAGGGGAGCCCACCCAGAGCGCAGGCACAGACAGGGACAGCCACGCCCGCGGCGCTGCCTCGGACACTCCCGGGGCTCCCGCAGGCAGCGGGCTGCACAGGGAGAACGGTGGTCTCCGGTAAAATCCTGGGCACACGCCAGGAGACACCAGGGCTGTCCCTGTCTGCGCCTGCGCGGCCCCTGGCACAGCTTGGAGGAGGGCTCCAGCCTTGCAGCGCTGAGGCCCAGGCAGCCCCGGGCACTGTTCCCAGCACTCGCATCACTGCCGCGGAGGCTGCCCCCTCAGCCCGGAGGCCTGTGCGCCGGCCTCCTCGCTCCGCCTCCGTGACACAGCGTGCCCTCCGCGCACAGCAGCTGTCTTCCCCACGGCGCCCCCCGCGGGCACTCACGCAGGTGACCTTCCGGTAGATCTGAGCGGCGTTCTGGCACTCGGAGTAGGGGTACTCCGAGGTGGCCATCTCCAGCATGCACATGCCGAAGGCGTACACGTCCACCGACTCGTCGTAGTGCTCCTCGTACATCTCGGGGGCCATGAACTCGGGGGTGCCTGTGCCGGGAGCAAGAGGTGCAGGGTCAGCGGCCGACGGCCAGAGCCCGCCCCATCACATGCCGCGCAGCAGGTCCCAGAACCCTGATTCCGACAGGACTGTTCTGTAGACAGAGGTTCCCAAAAACCCGCCGGGACCCTCCTGGTTCCGGCTGGACCAGCCCTCAGAGCGGGTGCCTCTCGGGCAGAGCACAGGCCCAGGGACCAGGACAGACAGAGCCGTGCCAGCACAGAGCTGCTGAAGTGGCAGGAGCCAGGAAAGCCCCATCAGCCCGCCAGGCACGTCCCACAGCAGAGCGTGGGCAGCAGCCCCGGACGGGCGCAGCACGGGGGCCGCTGGCGGGCGGGTCCAGGTGGAGACTGCTCGTGCGTTCTGAGCACACCGGTTTTCAAATAATGTTCCCTCTGAATGTTAGGGCCGTGAAGACTTACCCGAGGCAGAGTAAAATACACAAAATACACGTGCGTGCACATGCTGACCCGGAGCGCGGCCGTGAGCACAGACGGGACTCACCTGGCAGCTGTGATCACAGTGATTTTCCTTAGTGACGCTGGTCTAGGGCTTTAATTTTTCTATAACCTTTTTGCTCTAGTAATCACACTCCCTTTGTGAGAGCAAGTCCACCTGAGCACCTGTCACACTAACCACCAGGGGGCATCCTCTTCAGGGAGGCTGCTCTTGGACTCCCCACTGGCGACGGGAGGTTTTCTGAAGTCCAAGTTTTTAAAAGCAAAATGCCATGAACTGGCTGTTGTGTCAGAAAGCATATGGCGGGCCGAAACCGGTTTGGCTCAGAGGTAGAGTGTCTGTCTGCGGACTGAAAGGTCCCAGGTTCAATTCCGGTCAGGGGCATGTATGTTGGTTGCGGGCCCATCCCCAGTGGGGGGTGTGCAAGAGGCAGCTGGTCGATGTTTCTCTCTCATCAACGTTTCTAGCTCTCTAGCTCTCTCCCTTCCTCTCTGCAAAAAATCAATAAAACATATTTAAAAAAAAAAAAGAAAAGAAAAGCATATGGCGGGAGGGGGAGTGTCTTCCAAATGTTCAAACCTCAGCCCTGGCCTGCGTGGCTCAGTGGTGGAGCACCATCCCAGCACTGAAAGGTCGCAGGTTTGATTCCCAGTCAGGGCAATGCCTGGGGCTGCGGGCTTGATCCCCAGCAGGGGGCGTGCAGGGGCAATGTTTCTTCCTCTCCCTCTCCCTTCCTCTGTGGGCTCAGAGGAGGAAGAGGAAGGCGGAGGCACACAGCCAGCAAACCAGCCCCACAGTGATGCCCCAGACCCGCCCACACAAGCACTGTTCACTCCAGGCCCCACACACCTGGGTCCTCACATGCAGGGGGGCAGGGGGTTCCCCACCTGGAGAGGCCGCCCCGCTTCCTGCTCCTGAGTGCCATAGCTCACAGGCACCAGCAGCCTCACCACCGACCCACAGCCCCAGCAGGCCGGGAGAGCCAGCCTGGCTGAGGGCAGATGGTGGCAGCCTGGGAGAGCTGAGCGCACCTATTACACTCTTGGCAAAGGACGCCCTCTTGAGGGTGGCCAGGCCCAGGTCACCGATCTTGACGGAGCCGGTGGGCCCGGTGATGAAGATGTTGTCGCACTTGAGGTCGCGGTGGATGATGGGGGGCGTGCGGGTGTGCAGGAACAGCAGCCCCTTCAGGATCTGCCGGCACCAGCTGCGCAGCACCTTGGGCTTCATCACCTTGAACCGCTTCAGGTACCTGCAGGGAGGGCGCCGTGAGGTCCCGCTGCCGTGTGAGAAAGGCTTCCCGCTGCGGTGGGCGTGGGTGTCACCCACAGCACCCTGTGAGGCAGGAGTGCTGCGAACGCAGGCAGGACCGCCGGCTGGCTGCGTGGCCGCCAGGCCCAGCCCCCCCAGCGCCCGCGGCAGGACCGCCGGCTGGCTGCGTGGCCGCCCGGCCCCGGCCCCCGAGGCCGCGGCAGGGAGCGCTGGCTGCGTGGCCGCCCAGGGCCGCGGGACGCACTCACGTCTTGAGCGTCCCCGAGGTCATGAGCTCGGTCACCAGCACGATGCAGCGCTTCCCCTTGGCGCTGGACTCCCAGAAGTCGTAGAAGCGCACGATGTTGGGGTGCTGCAGGCCCTTGAGCATCTCGGCCTCCTCCTTGAACCGCTGCCGCTCGAGCTTGGTGAGCTTCCGGTCCTAGAGAGACACACACAGCTGCCTGGTCATCCCAGGGGTCACTCCCTCATTTCCTTTTGTCAGGGAGCGGGGGCGGGGGGTGGGAGGGGGGGGAAGGGAGGGGAGAGGATGAGGAGGGGAGGGGTGAGGAGGGGAGGGAGAGAGGGATAGGACGGGGAGAGGGAGAGGGTGAAGGGGAAGAGTGGAGGGGAAGGGGAATGGAGGGGAGGAGAGGGAAGGGGAGAGAGGGAAGGGGAGGAGAGGGGTAGGGGAGGTGAAAGGAGGGGAGAGGGAAAGGGAGAGAGGGGAAGAGGAAAGGAGGGGAGGGGGAGGGGAAGGGGAAGGAAAAGGAAGAGGGGAGGGGGAGCCTCCCTGAGGAGGAGCCCCTAGCTCATCAAAAGGATCTCTACCCTGGTGGGTGGCTCGGGTGGCTAGTGTTGCCCAGTGCACTGAAGGGTCACAAGTTCAGTTCATGGGTGGAGGCACACACCAGGTTGTGGGTTCAGCTTCTAACTGGGGCACACACAGAGGCAACCGACGGATGTTTCTCACATCGATGTTTCTCTCTTCCTGGATTCAACGGAAGACACATCCATGGTGAGGATTAAAAAAGAAGCCCTGCAGAGGCCCAGCGCCTCCAGCCACTGCAGTGCCAATGCTCCTCCGGGCACGCCTGGCGCCCGGGCCCGGGCTCTGGTGCTGGGGAAGGAGGCGCGGACTGGCTCTGAGGGCCTGCTCCTGGCCACGGCAACGGCCGCCAGAGACCCGGGGGGATGGAGCTAGCGGCAAAGGAGGAAGGCCAGGTCGCAGGCCGCTCCCGTCGGGGCTGGGCAGCACACACACGGGGGCCTGGACCCGCGGCTCATGGGAACACACTCCAGCACCCCAAGCCAAGGTTACACCTGATCCCACACCTGCCACCACCCAGGCCCTGCCTCGTCGTCCCAGCAGCCTCCTGTATCCACCTTCCCCTCACAGATCAGCCCCACCTCGGCCCAGCACCTTCTCCCACACACCCCCAATGTCGCCTCTGTCCCAGTCCGACGGGCAGAGCCTGGCAGCACACGCCTGGCGCCTGCCAGAGGAGCCCCAGGAACAAACACCGCTGTGGTGGGACGGGAGCTGTGGGTTGCGGGAGACAGAAGAGGTGCATGCGGACAGAGGGTGGGAGAAAGCAGAGCTGAAAGGAAACACAGGCCTGGACTCCTGGGATATTTCCAAAAGAGCCCAATGGCATAAATATTCCAACAAACCCAGAGAGGAGACGGGAGGGGCTGGGGTCACCGGGTTATGGGGTTCTTTCCCAAGTGGTGCTGAGCATTAGGCACCTTCCCCACAAACGCCATCAGCCTCTCCGTGCAGCACAAGCACCACGGAGCAAAGCAATGCCAGGAGGAACAAAGACAACTTCGAGAACATCTAGCTCACGCCCTCTGACTCCGAGAGGCTGACACATATCAATGAGAGAAAGCTTCTACTGAAAAAGGAGCAATCGAAATGCTCGGAGAACCACATCAAAATTACAACTAAAACAGAACCGCCTCATTCAGAACCGCCTGAGACTGGGTTGAATGGAAGCCCTGCAACTAGAGAAGCAAAGAACGCACACTGAGGCTGGTGGGCTGGGCGGAGGCCCAGAACGGCTGGTGCAGCACCACCTCTGGTGTTTTTACATCAGGAGGGAGGTCTCAGCTGCAGAGGCTTCCCGTGAGGAGCAAGGAGTCCCAGCCCCACACTGAACACACAGTCTGGGGTTCCAGAGCTGAGAAGGTAAGTTCCCGTAACTCTGGGCTATAAAAATCAGCAGGGATTGAAGCTGAGTGACACAGATGGAGACCAGGTGTTCCTCTTAAAGGGCCAGGCGCACGGACTTGCATGGAATCACACCCTCTGAGCTCCAGCACCAGGTGGCTTGGGGGGACCTAGGGACATACGGGGAGGAACTACACTGTCTGTTATTGGAGCAGGAACTCAGGGGCAGCTTTCTCTCAGATCAGGGAACTCACAGGGGTCATTGCTCCTGTGCTGGGACCTCCTGTGTCACGGAGCTGACGGACAGTCACATCTGAGCCTCCATCTGCCTAGAACACACTGTTCACTCTGCCCTGGGGATTCTGAGACCCCGCCCCATCCAATCTACAGCCCACCTAAGCTGTTTGCAGTGGCTTTTCCATGTGAATGGCCTGTCCTGGCTCAGGCCTCACAGATTGTGCTAAAATCTCTCCAACAGGCGTGCCCCAAACCTATCAGTAAGAGGTTCAAGACTCAGCACTGCCGAAACCAGTTTGGCTCAAAGGATAGAGTGTCGGTCTGTGGACTGAAAGGTCCCAGGTTAGATTCCAGTCAAGGGCATGTACATTGGTTGTGGGCACATCCCCAGCGGGGTGTGTGTGTGTGTGTGTGTGTGTGTGTGTGTGTGCAGGAGGCAGCTGGTCGATGTTTCTCTCTCATCAATGTTTCTAGCTCTCTATCACAGGGAAGCAGCCAAAATGTAGAGACAAAGAAATGTGTTACAAATGAAGGAAATGGAAGCAAGCAAACTACTGGATACAGAGTTCAAAACCATGAGTATAAGTTACTTAAGGATCTTCAAGAGAGCTTTAAAGGACTGAGAGAGAACTTCAAGGGACTTAGTGAGACTTTCAAGGATCTTACTGAGAATGTCAAAGACATGAGAAAGGACCAGTCAGAAATTAAGCATACACTCACTGAAATAAAAAATAATTTACAGGGATTCAATAATAGAGTAGATAATTCGGAGAATAAAATCAACAATTTGGATTATGAGGAAGCAAAAATCAATCAGAGTAGCAAAAACTGACAACCCAATTAAAAAGTATGAAGGTAGTGTAAGAAGACTCTGGGACAACTTCAAGAGTACCAACATCAGAATTATGGGGGTGCCAGAAGAAGAGAGAAAGCAAGATATTGAAAACCTATTTGAAGAAATAATGACAGTAAACCTCCCCCACCTGCTGAAAGAAATAGACTTACAAGTCCAGGAAGCACAGAGAGTCCCAAACAAGAGGAACCCAAAAAGGCCCACACCAAGACACATCATAATTAAAATGCCAAGGGTTAAAGACAAAAAGAGAATCTTAAAAGCAGCAAGAGAAAAGCAGTTAGTTACCTTCAAGGGAACTCCCATAAGACTGTCATCTGACTTCTCAACAGAAACTTTGTAGGCCAGAAGGGAGTGGCAAGAATATTAAAAGTAATGAAAAGAAGGGCCTATAACCAAGATTATTCTATCCAGCAAAGCTATCATTTAGAATTGAAGGTCAGATAAAGAGCTTCACAGACAAGAAAATACTAAAGTAGTTCATCATCACCAAACCAGTATTACATGAAATGTTAAAGAGTGGTGGTGGTAGTGGTGGTTGTGGTGGTGATGGAAGAGAAGGAAGAAGAGGAGGAGGAGGAGGAGGAAGAGGAGGAGGAGGAGGAGGAGGAAGAGGAGGAGGAAGAGGAGGAGGAGGAGGAGGAGGAGGAGGAGGAGGAGGAGAAAAAGGGAGGAGGAGGAGGAGGAAGAGGTAAAAATATGAACAATAAAATGGCAATAAATGCATAGCTCTCAATAATTGAATCTAAAAGTCAAAATAAACAAATAAGGAATCTAATGAACAAAATAAACTGATGAATAAAATAGAACCAGAGGCATGGAAACATGGAACAAACTGATGAATCTTAGAGGAAAAGGGGGGGGGGGGCAGGAGAGATTAACCAATGATCTTATCTATCTATCTATGAAAGCCTCTCCACATATAGAATCCTAAGCAACCGAAGGACCAGTTGCTATGATGCACACTGACCACCAGGGGGCAGGCACTCAATGTAGGAGCTGCCCTCTGGTGCTCAGTGCGCTCCCACAGCCAACCTCCCATGGCTGGCAAACCTCCTATGGTCCCCCTCCCCAAGCTGGCCGGCCAACCTCCCACGGTCCCTTCCTCCCCACAGCCAGCCAACCTCCTGCAGACACTCCCCCCAGCCAGCTGCCCCCACCCCCCAAATCAGCCCCAATCACCGGCCAGGACTAGGGATCCCACTTGTGCATAAATTCATGCACCAGGCCTCTGGTGGACATACATGAATTACCGATGGACACAGGCAGTGGGGTGATGACACCTGGGGAGGGGGACAAAGGGGGGAAGAGGAGGAAGGCATCTGTAATACCCTCAACAATAACGATTTTTTAGAAAGGAAAGATAAATAGCCCCAGCAGGTTTGCTCAGTGGATAGAGCATCAGCCTGTGTACTGAAAAATACCAAGTTTGATTCTAGTCAAGGGCACACGCTTGGGTTGTGGGCTTGATCCCCAGTAGGGAGTGTGCAGGAGGCAGCCAATCAATGATTCTCTCTCATCACTGATTTTTCTCTCTCTCTCTTCCTCTCACATCCTCTCTGAGATCAATAAAAAATATTTTTAAAAGAAAGATAAATAAAAGTTTTGAAAAAAGGAACAATCAAGAGCTCTTGAAAATTAAAGCTCAATATTTTAAAAATAAGATATTCTGTGACCCAAGGAAATATTAAATACAAAAATCAACTTTTATTTTCTTTTATTGTTGGCAGTATTACAGATGTCTCCCATTCTTTCCCCTTTACACACCTCTGCTCAGGCCCTACCCATCCCTAGGTCTTTATCACCCTACTGCCCATGTCCGTGGCCTATGCATATCCTATATAATAAAGAGGTAATATACAAATTGAGCATCACTCCAACAAACAAGATAGCTGCCCCCATGTGGTCAAAGATGGCCACCCCCTTGTGGACGGACACAGATGGCTGCCACAAGATGGCCAGCTGGGGAGGGCAGTTGTGGGCAATCAGGCCTGCAGGTGAGTGCAGTTGGGGGGGGGACACCAGACCTGCAGGGGAGGGCAGTTGGGGTGACCAGGCCTGCAGGGGGGGACAGTTAGAGGGGACCAGGCCAGCATGGGAGGGCAATTAGGGGTGACCAGGCCAGCGGGGGAGGGGAGGCATTTAGGGGTAATTGAGCCAGCAAGGGAGAGTGCAGCAG